AAGATTGTTCTGTTTCTAGTTTGCTTAGAGTTCTGAATCAGTGGAGCTTATTTTCAAGAGTGTCCTTCATGACCCTCTAGAAATGGTCAATAGTTTCCCCTTTGATTCTGTTAACATGCTGAATCTTGTGATTTATCTCTTTTTTCTTCTTTTATTTTTGGAGGGGGCGTTTGAGACAGGATTTCTCTGTTTCTTTGGAGGCTGTCCTGGAACTAGCTCTTGTAGACCAGGCTGGTCTCGAACATGTGTCTCTACATACAAGTGGTGAACACGTGTCTGTACATACAAGTGCTGGAATTAAAAGTTTATGGCATGATTTATCTCTTAATGTTAAGTCAGATTTTCATTTCTAGGTTAAATCACAACTTTAATTATGGGTTCTCCTTGCTTTCTGCTGGACTTAGAACTTTTCCTTTCTCCTGTGCTCATTACAATATTTGCTAAGGAGATTTATTTTCCTGTGATGTTCTTGGTATGGAGATCATTCTGACCTAATGAAAGTGTTCCCTTTTCAACTTACTAGAAGACGAGAAGTGTAGGTTCACATGATTTTTTTTTTACTTAAATATTTGATAGGATATGTCAGTCAAGCCATCTGCATCTACAGTTCTCTGTGTAGGAATATTTTAGCTATGAATTTCATTTGTTTCAATACATAGGGATATTCAGTTCCATTTATTTTTGAATTAGTTTAGGTACTTCTTATTGTTCATAAGATTTTTCATTTTATCAGGTTCACCAAATGGCTTCTTTACTAAGGTATATTAATTTGTTCTCGAAATTCATAATTAAAATAAAAATTTAATTATACCCCGACTTTATAGTGACTCATGTATATCAGGGAATGAATTTAAAGTTGTTGAAGTATAATTTTATGCCGGTTGAAAGAAATAGTTTTAATTCTTCTACATTTTGACTTAGAAATTCCAACTGCAGAAATTTATTCCTGAAAAATAATTGAGTGTGTATTTATAAATATCTGAGAGCACTTATAGTATGGTTTAAAAACAAAAAAAATAAACAGGGAAAACCACAGAAACTGATAAATAAAATGTTTGCCAGTAGAGAATAAAACATCAATATAATTGAATATTGCATAAGAGAAAAGGGTGCAATAATACATTTTTTATGGAACTGTGTCTTTTATATGTTGTTAAGTGAGAGAGGAAAGGTTGTGCAACAGATTTTCACAGAACTTACTTTAAAGGAATATGAAGATCCATAGTTAGAAATTTTCTCTAAAATTGCGTGGCTTGGTTGGGCTTTAGCAATTTAAAAAATCAGGAAGGAAAATTATTCCCAATTTATCCCCTTAGGTGCCAATTGACATTTCGGAATGAATAGGCATACTTAAAATGAAAGCCTAAACTCAGACAAATGTTTTATAAAGCACACATTTTCTGCTTTCTCCAGCACCAAACAGATTTCTGATTTGCATTTTGTCAGTTCTTCCAGGTTGTGAGCATAGCTGTCTGCAGAGCTTCCTTCTGCTCTGCCCACTTGGAAGTGGCTCAGCTGGGACTCAGCAACACCCTCTAGAAAAAGTGATGGCGAGAACCTTGCAGGCCACATGCTCATGTACATATATTTAGAAGAGGGAAGACCCAAGCCAGTGTATAGCGTCTAAGTAGACTTGCTGGTAGAACTTCTCCACAGTAGTCTGTGGGGTCACAGTACTAGCTGTGAGACCCAGTAGATAATAAATGTGCTGGGGTCCAGCCTTGGCTAGGGTTCAGGTCCTGAGGAGGGGAAGGGGCATTGATACAAGGAAAAAAAAATCTGGCCACCAGGTGTATTGGACTCAATTGTCTCTGAATAGCTTGAGCTGTCTTTACACTTACATGGACTCAAGTGTCTCTGAATAGCTTGAGCTGTCTTTACACTTACAGAGGATTTCTTACCAGGGATGCATGAACATATTTATTATTGGCTCCTATTTTTGACTTTTAAGAAATACATAATAATTATTACATAATTATTATACATAATAATATATATACATAATAAATATAAAAATAATTTATACATAATAAATATAAAGGCCCCCATCGTTCCCCTTTATGCCTCCCCAAATATACTTTCCCAAGCCCTACATAGCCTTATTCTAGACATAAGAGTTCAACATTTTTTGCAGGCTCAACTAAGTATGAAGCCATACACATCCTGCTCTCCCAGCACTTAAGTCAGCTGGCAGCTAGCTGTGATTACAAAGTTAAAAGGTAATAGGCATGGGCACAGTGCTTCAAAGACAATATTTAAACTAAAAAATTCTTCCATTTCTGCAAGATATGCTTCTATGCAGTTCCCCCTTTCACAAGGGGGCCCCGTATCTTGATCTCTGTGTAAAAGGTAGACTTTGATTAAGCACTTTTCCCAGCTCACTATGCCTCACTTCTTCCAGCAACATAAGCTCCTGTGTATGGTAAAAGATGGATCTTTCCATACCATCTTTTACATTGTGTTTTCCCCATTGGATCACATGAGATCCTGTCATTGATTCTATATGCTTGGCATCCAAACAAAGGGAAATTTACTTTCAGCAGTTAGCACTGTGTATTCCTGAGGTCTTTTCCCTATTCTGTGTATGCATGCCCAAGTGTTGTTTTCTCCTATGTACCTAACTATCTCTATTGAGTCAGAAAAGCTCCCAGGATTAGGAGTTGTCCTCAGTAATTCCAGATAAGAGACTTGAGAAGCACTAGCCCCCAGCTGAATCTTAGGTGGAAATATTCGAGAAAGAACAGAATTTCCAGGGAAAATTACAGCTGTTGCATGTGTGACTGACAAATAAGACTAAAATCTGCCCAAAAGAATCACCAATATAATGAGAGAGTAATGAGAGAGCCTGCAAATAGCATGAACTTTGCAAATTCCTGTGCTGTCCCATGGACTACTGGTCCCTGCCAAGTGAGAGTCTGTTTCCAGGGGTGTCTTGCCCTGAGGAAAGCTGTTGCACAGATAGTCACATGCTGATCCGGGACTAGGCTGCACATCTCCCAGCCCAGATGGAGGATGCATCAGGGTTTGAAGGGTTTGAAGTCAAGTTAACGCTTTCACTGAGTTTGAGATATAGACATTGGGAAAAGCTAGCATATATTTCCCAGGAAAATTACAGTGTCTCTGTGAGGGTAGAGCTGATTTGGGCTCTGAATAACTTGGGATCATGGGAAGAGCCTGAGATAATGAGCTGAGAAGATGAATTGTTTGGGAGGCTGAGACACATTTCAGACAACAGGCCTGGGGAAGGCAACCTTCGATTAAGTCCCTGATCTACAAGATTTCAGGTTTCTTCACTAAAAGACTTGGAAAAGTTCTGCACCTTAATTGGTCAAAACAAAGATAACTCAGACTTTTTTCTGATGATTCCAAATGGATTGCTGAGGGAACTCTCTGAGCTTGGGTTAATTAAGGTAAACCTCAGTGACTAAGTTCCCTTGAGACGGAGAGAAATGGGGACAGTGGGGGGAGAAGGACAAATCCTCAAGTCTGTTCAGTACTTTTATTGCTAGACTTCTTCCTAAGCTCCTGTGTAGATCCCACTGCCCTCCTCACCATGAGTCGAGGCTCCAGCACCTTGTACAGCTCAGCACTAGCCAGACAGGAATTTGTTTCTGTTGAGTCCACAGAAACAACATGAAGCCCTTCTAAAGAGGTCAGTGATTTCTTAAAGTTCTGCCTCTGTGAAGGAGAAACCAGAGGAATTGGGTGGTAACCTGGGGCATAGATGTCTTGCGGAAGCTGAAGAAAATGGAGCTGTGGAGTGGAGCAGGGGAGAAGCAGAGTGGGCGGACCCAGCCCCAGTCCTCCACACAGTGTGCTCACTCTTCCCTGTGCGGCTCTCATAGTAATCAGAGAACTTCCCCTGGCTGTGTCTGTTTTCTTCGTTTCCTGCTGGCCATCCAAAGGCTATGAAAGCAAAGCAGGTATTGATCCCTCCCAACCATTCTGGCCTTGAAGTCTGAGACTGTCCATTAGTCAAACAACCACAGAGAAATAAGAGAGGGCAATTAAAGGAATGGTGAGGAGGAAGGACGGTGCTGATGAGAGACAGGAGGGGTCGCTAAGGTGTGTAAGACTGAGGGCATATGGCTGAACTAGCCTTGGTCCAGACAAGTATTACTTAACCTATATCATCCACTCACTCATTCATCAGCTGAAAAATTCCATGCTACTTACGTGGGTCAAAAATACATTATATATATAATCTTAGAACACTGGTTTGGAGATGTTTTCATAGCATTTATGTTCTAATGTCATAAATGAAAAATAAATAAAATTAAATCTTCTAGTCATCTTTTCTACATGGTACTCACTATTTTGTATCCTATTTACTTCTTGTGTGTGGTTTAACACATATATTCTCCCCTTGAATATGAAATCCACAGGGCAGCAATATTCCACTTGTCCTCTCCATGGTTATATTGTTTAATACTAAAGGAGAGGAATAAACAATTAGACATGTAATATCAGGTAGTAAGTGCTATAAAGAAGCATGGAGTTTGCTAATGAGCATGCTTTCTTGCTTGGGGAAGGGTGACTGGAAAGAAGTTTTGGAGGAGCTGACAATTAAGAAGATAAAAGGAATAAGAACAGAGAACCAGGTATCAGAACTTCTGGTATTTTGGCATCTTATCTGAACCAGCTGTCATCTTTCATTATTTCCAATGCTTTTGAGAGAAAAATGAGGTTAGAAAAGAAGGATTTCTGCTTTGAGAAATCATCTCCATCCCAGAGTTTTCACGTGGAGATATTGTTTTAATGTTTTAAAATCTGAGGATGGCAAGAACACTGGCTCTAGACACTGGCCTTGGTTCTGTTGGCTTCTGGATTGCTCTGTGTGATATTGTGGAGAACTGGTACTCAAAGTTCTGTGCTTTAATCTTTCTCTGGAATGCCCTTGTCTTCTGGTACAGTTAATCCAGGAGGAAGGACAATCCCATGACCAGAAGAATCTGTTTGATACAGATCTCAAACTTGGAAACAAAAGTCAAAATCAAGTGATGGACAATCTCTCTAGTGCCACTGAATTCTGCCTTCTGGGCTTCCCTGGGTCCCAAGAACTACAGCACATCCTTTTTGCTATGTTCTTTTTCTTCTATTCAGTGACACTTCTGGGAAACATGATCATCATCACGATTGTCTGTGTTGGTAAGCGTCTACAGCCCCCATGTATTTCTTTCTCTCCCACCTCTCTCTTCTGGAAATCCTGGTGACAACAACACTTGTTCCTATGATGCTAAGGGGACTGCTCCTTCCTGGAACCCAGACAATATCTCTGACTGTGTGTGTTGCCCAACTTTTCCTTTATCTTTCTTCAGGGACCACCGAGTTTGCAGTGCTTGGAGCAATGGCGGTGGACCGTCATGTGGCGGTCTGCAACCCTTTGGGGTACAGCATCATCATGAACAGCCACACTTGCATCTGGGTGGTGATTGTGTCCTGGGCGTTTGGCTTCCTTTCTGAAGTCTGGCCAGCCTATGCCACGTTCCAGTTCACTTTCTGCAAGTCAAATCTGTTAGATCATTTTTACTGTGACAGAGATCAGTTGCTCCAACTATCTTGTGATAACACTTTTCTCGCAGAGTTCATTCTTTTCTTAATGGCTATTTTCATAATCATTGGATCCCTGATCCTCACAATTGTCTCCTACACCTATATCGTCTCCACCATCCTCAAGATCCCCTCAGCCTCTGGCCGGAAGAAAGCCTTCTCCACCGGTGCCTCCTACTTCACCTTCGTTATCATTGGCTATGGCAGCTGCTTGTTCCTGTATGTGAAACCCAAGCAAACACAGGCAGCTGAGTACAACAGGGTGGCTTCATTACTGGTGTCTGTGGTAACCCCTTTCAAAGCTGAACCCCTTCATCTTCACTCTTCGGAATGATAAACTCAAAGAGGCCCTTAGAGATGGAGTGAAGCGTTGCTGTCTGCTCTTCAGGGATTAGTTCTTCTTGTTATCACTCTTATGTGACATAGCCCAGAAAAATCTCAACTTCTCTATTGCATTAAAGTTGCTATAAAATCTGAATCCTGTGCAGAAATTGCAGTTATGTCATGGAAGATCTACTTCCAAACCCCTTCCCAAGGCAAGTCAAGCATATGAATCTCTTTTTATGCTAACTAGAACCTTGCAGATGTTGTGTCTGCCTCTTCAAGGATGAATGTTCTTGAAGACACTGGAGGAGCTTGAGAAAGAAAACAGTGTTTCATAAGAGAAGAGAGGAAATGGTAAGAAAGATGGAGTGTGAGAGGTGTCCTCAACAGAGTACAAAGATAAACATGTACACTCTGGTCCTTCAGTAACTTGGCTAAGACATTCTCTGTATTTTAGTGCAATTACTTGACAAGATATCCATCTACATTTTAAATGTCTTTGAGTTCTCTTTCTATTTTCATATCATATTACAATTGTCCTGGCTCAATTATAATTATAAATGTAGCATTGTTTGTATATTGCCACAGAAAGGATATAGAATGGAGATGGGACATGTGGCAAACTTTCCTCTGGCAAATCTTGGTAGTAGCCAGAAGAAAATATTTGAGTGTAGGAATGGGAAAAACTTCTTTCCCTAAACTTCAGAGGATTACATAAGCTGGCCCTCCTTGAGTCAGGTATAGAAAAGAAGAATAAATAAAAATTAAATAGTAAATTTTAGAAAGATATCATCATGCTTTACAGCTACTGAAATCTTCATTTCTCTTCAAACTTACCCCAGTCTAAGATTCTGTCTTCAAAATCCAAGTCTCTGATTATACCTTCCAAATGACTTCTCTTCATGCAGAATTTTAAAAAGGAGAGGCAATTCAAGAGCTTGGGGTTTGGGGAAAGTAGTTGTGAAATTTTGAATAACTTTAGAAGAAGGAACTTATTTACATGGTGGCAGTCAGTAGATCTTGCCATCTCTGAAGCGTGTGTGTGTGTGTGTGTGGTTGTGTGTGTGTGTGTGGGTGTGTGCGCGGTGTGTGGTGG